GACGACTACCTCGAGAAGATCGATACCGACGACGAGCTCGACATCCCAGCCGACATGAGGGCGAATTACTACATGCCCAACCTGCGCTCAGAGGCCAACACGGGGCCCAAGGGTGTCATTGCTGACGCCCAGGCGTTTGAGCAGGCCAAGAAGCAAGCACGCCGATTCACATGGAAGAAGAACGCCGCACCCGCACAGTACAACGTCAATGCCTATCACGACGAGAAGACATCGAGCAGTGATGACGAGGTCGACGAGGGCTTCATGCGCCAATGGCGTGAGGCCAGGTTGAAGGAACTGCAGAATGTTGGTGAGAGGATACGGTCGAGGACCAACAGCCCCAGCCGGAGGATATATGGAAGCATGCCGTTGGTGGATGGCGTGGGGTACCTCGATGCTGTTGACAAGACGGCGTCGAGTACTGTCGTCGTCGTCTTTATCTACAACAGTGATGTATGTATACACATCACTCCACCCACTGTTTAACTCCTACTAACAGCACCATAGCCATTTGCCGAGGTATCAAAAATGTTCGAGCAGGTTATGCACGAGGTAGCAAAGCGCAACGACACCGTCCGCTTCGTCAAGATGTACAACGACGACGCCGAGATCGAGGACACCGGGGTTCCTGCCGTCCTGGCATACAAAGGCGGCGAGAAGTTCGCAGACCTGATACCGCTCGTCGAATGCCTGCCCGATGATTCGGAGCTCAGCGCTGTCGCCCTCGAGACCGTCTTCAGACAGTGAGTCCTTTCCTCCATGCACGACCAACATGCATCAAATGACTGACAATCATCAGAAAACGCATCCTCTGAGCAGCATGTTCATACCCGCCTTCACGAAACTCTCTTACCATCTCATACCCGTGATACTCATCTCACGACTGCGCTATCCTCCCCACCGCCGTTTTCCCACCGGTGGTTCATCGGCGCTATTATATCATCGGATCACCCATCATCCGACCCTGGCAGTTTCACCACGACACCGCTGCACGTCGCCCTACCCCTCCTCATCTCACTACCAAATGATGACAGGGCAACCTCTACGACTAGCTCCCTCCCTCACTCCCATGTGGGCGTACTCAGTCCTCTGCAGGATGGGCCTCGCGCACCTTGTCGCCTCCGCATTAACGACTACTATTTCCTTACCATCTTTCCTCATTTAGCGACGCAGTTCTGTTTATACTATGCATTGGGATATTTGCATATTTGCAAAGGCGTCTTTACTACTTGACTACATTACATGGTCATGTTCGGCGTTGTTAGGTTAGATGGATGTTGCCGCAGGGCTTTGTACTTGTTACGATACGAATAGTGTTGCGCCTGCTGCTGAGGGTGTGTTGGCGGATACCCAATTTGATATCAGTTCCTCGAGATGTGTTCTCGACTTATTATTTCTCTCTCCAGTCTTGTATTCTTGATGTTCGTCTCGTGCTTTCCTGTCCTCGTTCTTTCCATATGCAGTCTTCGGCAAGTTTCTCGCTTGTGATCGGTCTGTCGCTCCTTCCCGATATCTTCACGTATACATTTGTCCTTGACTAAACGCTCACAACGATGCAGCGATCTTCTCCAGCTCGGAAATGCATGCGCGACCTACCTGCGCAAAAGTGGATGCGTTGCTGTGCCACATGGGCGATTCGACGAGTTGGCGTCTAGTAAGCGCCCACGCCTTCCGTATGTTCTTGGGGTACTTTTGACCCATTGAACAGTTGAGTGCTGCGTATAAGTATCTGCCAGAGTAAGAAAGAGCTGGTCATATTGCCTCTCATTTCCCCTTGTTAAGCATCCAATCATGCCTTCGTTCATGTTGTCCTTCCGGCATCATTCCGCAAGTGGGAAAGCGCCCCCTGCACCTACACCTTCGTCAACTAGCAAACCATCAGTACCACTTCACAATCTTTGCGAGCGATGTCGCAAGTTCTCAAATGAGTGCAGCGCTCTGGAGTGGCTGCAGAGACCTCGTGGTCAACCCGTCCCATTGTGGCCCTTCTCGCGCTTATGCACCGTCACTCAAATCTCTCAGTCAGCGCCATCTTGCCACTTTTGCAAGATGATGTTTGCGGAGTTGCAGCATGGAGCTGCACGCGGTATACGCCCGGCTGGCGATGAGGGTGTTTATGCGTGTCCCCGAACCGAGAGGAGCAGTACAGAATTACTACTCCGGATGAGGCTGGTCAGAGGTGAAATGAGGAGCGAGGATGATGGGAGAGGCTTTGCTATGTTCAAGTTTCAGACTTTTGATAGTGAGTTCTAGCAAATCGCTTTCCCTGGTCGCTTACTGACGAAGGCGGGTAGACACCACCACTGGAGCGTTCAACAGCCACATCACAGCCAGAGAAACACCCCTCCTCGCTCGCGATAACATCCAGAAAGCCAAGCAGTGGCTGAATACCTGTCTGTCAGAACACACAGCATGTCGCAAATTCCACAGCAGCACCGTTTCCAACCCCCAGCAACGACCAACGCGCGTCCTCGAAATCACACCCACCACCATTCGCCTCCGTTGCAATATGCAGAACGAGCATTTTGACTACCTCGTCTTAAGCTACATGTGGGGAACGAATTACACCCAACAAATCCAGCTCCGTCAATCCAATCTTAACGCCTTTCAAAAAGAGATCCCTCGAGCCCAATTGGAGGCATCAGACGTATACAAGGAAGCGATCCGCGTCACGCTCGCCCTAGGCTACCGCTACCTCTGGATAGACAGCCTAGCCATAATCCAAGACTCAGATGAAGACTGGACCTACGAAGCACGCCGCATGGCTATCGTCTACGGCAACGCAACGGCCAACCTCGCTTTCCTCTTCCCACCCCACTCACCCTCTGCACCATCCCGTCGCGAAGACCCACGATCTTCGAATCCATGTATCCTCCGGGCTTCATCTTCGCATACACCTGGTATATATATTGAGCACACGAAGTCCTCACTGCGTCTCGCCCTCGACACGGAGGAGGCGAGTAGAGACTGGCTCGCTCAACGCAACTGGCCGCTCTTCAATCGCGCATGGACGTTCCAGGAGTATCTCCTTGCGCCACGGACGTTACTGCTTGGGCATAAGAATCTGATGTGGCAGTGCTCCGAGGGGTTTTGGGATGAATTGCTTGGGCCGATTGCAGAACCACCGGTTACAGACCCCACGACGACGACGGTGCAAGTATCTTTGCACGGCAGAGACCGAGGGAAGTCTCGGTACTTCCCCAACACCATCAAAGAGATCAATACACTCGCAAAGACAAACAGCTTTTCCTCGCCAGTTATCCTCTCCTTCGCGCTCTCCTACCAAAATGTCATCAACGAGTATCGCAGCCGCAAACTCTCTTTCTCCAAAGACCGCATCGTAGCTTTCGCAGGCATAGCGCGTGCGTTCTCCAACCTGGGCCAACTCACCTACCTAGCCGGGCTGTGGAAAGAAATACTAGCAATAACCATGCTATGGTACGTCGACAAAAAAGCGAAATGGCTTGTCCGCCTCGAGAATGGAATATCGAATGGAGCGGAGATGAAACCATCGATGTGGACAGCGGAAATCGAAGAGGGTATCGTGCAAACCACATCACCACTCCCAAGTTGGTCATGGTTCTCAGTCCCGATATGGAAATACTACCAACTCCAACACCTCTTCAGCGACGACGAACTAGTCGTCCGGAGTAAAAGCGACTCCGAACCTCATCTCGTCCGCTGGACCGACATGTTCTTCGCTGAAACCAAGGGCTTCAAGTTCGCTGGACACGCGCAAGATCGCGTACCGGAATCTAGCCCGTTTGACTTCTCAGGCTTGCAAGTCACACTCGCTACGTTGGTTTTACCTATTAAGGCGGATTGGCCCGCTGATCTGGCAGCACAGATGAAGCGGTTGCAAAGCCTTCCTGCGCTTTCTTCCAACCGTGGGTTTAGTTGGGACCCAGTTCTGGAGTATTACACTGATGATCCAGCGGGAAGGATGTCGCCACCACGCAACGCGGTGTATGCGCTGATGGCGGAGTGTCAGGTTGTTAGGACTGCGGGAAAGAATACGGTGCAGCGGCGGTTGGCGGGGTTGATGTTAGCACCGGGAAGTAAGGAGGGGACGTGGAAGAGAGTGGGAGTGTGGAAGTTGAGGATTAATGTTGTGGGTGTTGGTGTTGATGGGGGTAATATTGGGGAGGTGGCGAGGAGGTGGGCGAAGGTTAGTGTGCTGTCGGGGAAGTGGAAGGGTGTGCTTGTTACGCTGGTGTAGCGTTGTGACGGGTAGATAAGAGGATTGTTTGGGGGATATGTGGGCTTAGGCCGAGGGCAAAGAGTGTGGCTTTACTCCCTGTAATTATCAGAAGGAGAAGTTAGGTGGCCGAATATGCAGTGCATGGTAGAGTTGTAGTACCAAAAGAGCGGCTCCGCCAGCGTCGCGTTTCTGTCTACTACCCTTGGTATACTCCTCGGGTAGCGTTGCTACACAAAATAGCTAATAGCTACTTGCATGTCTTCGCCAGAATGCAGGATATATCTTTCCATATTTCGCATTCAGCTCACCTCGTAGTCTGCAAACTTGTAGCCAAAGACCAAGGGGAACACAATCCAAGCAAGTATAAACGAGGCTCCAATCTGTGAAGACACTCCCAAACGCCTCCAATGTCTCCCCGTCAAACCCAGCCATCTTCGGCATCCATGCCAATCACCCCGATGCCGATGACCCCATCAATTCACCACCGCCATCATACATCCCCAATCCGGATGACGAACTTGGGCTGGCACGCCTCGTTTGTAATGGGGCGCGGACACGGAGACAATCACCCGTCAGGACCTTGGAAGGGAAGCTGAGAACCTTGGAACTCAGATCCCTTGGTTGGTGGGCGTGCCTGTTAGTGGTTCGCTGCCCGCTACCGGCACGGGGTACCGCGCACTTTCGAATCATTCCGAAGTCAATCTCTCTGCAAAAATCCGCATCACCATCTCTCGCGAATCCCCATCAACACCTGCGCATCTCGTCCACTACGATGGAGTCACGCAACAAACCTGATACCATGCTGCAGCACGAAAATGCAGATCCAAGTGCGCCGCCTGATCCTGACGATACGACCGACTATGGCTTGCAGCGGATGCTTGATTTGCCGACAGAGCTACGCTGTTACATACTAGAGCTCCTCATCAAGGACGAGCACTTCGAAGCCTACTACACACTTCTCGAGCATCCGGAGATGGGCGATTTGGTCCGCTGCAACTTTGCTGCGCAGTTCAAAGCGATCAAACAGCACCGCTACCTCGCCAGCCAGCTTCAGCATATCCTAACAACTACGGCCTTACTTTGGACGCATACAAACCGCCCGCGCTCAAGCGAGCAGCTAGCTGAGTTCTTGAATAGCAATCTACATGATGAAAACCTGCGTATATCAGTGGATAGCTCTGATCATGCTGTCGGCATGCTCGCCGAGTACCAAGCACTCTTAATCGACGCGGATATCCTTACAGATCAGTTCGTTCACATAGCACTAGGCAATGCAGTAGCTCGGTGGGCCTCATCCGATCAGTCTCGCTATGGTACCGATACCCTGTCTGATGTCGAGCATCATCGTGTACTTCGTGCATTTTTCCGGTTGCAACTCTACGTTGTAATCCGGAAACTCTATGGAAAAGGGAAAGGCTTCAGACGGAAGATCAGAAGCTTGTTCTCGATGTGGACGACGTGGGAGTTTGACGAGGTGAGAAGCTTAGCCGAATGGATCAAAATCGAACGTCCATTCCTACCGCGAGATTACGACGCCAGTATCCGCAAGTTGTTTGCCTGTGTGGACAGACATTTCTACAACGACATGGTCCCGTATGTCAAAATCAAACCCGCTCCTTGTCGCGACCGGAACCGACGTTCTGCGTTCGCGAAAAAGTCGAAGACTTGGCTCGACACGCCTGCGACAACTCGTGAAGGTCGAGCTGATGCCCGAAACAAGAACTGGAGACCGCTTGGTCACAGTTACGGATGTTACGTCGGTTATACACAACAGGTGTATCGAGAGCATTGTCTTGCTGAGGGTTTCCCATTTTGGTGTCGATATACAAAGCCACATGGTGGATGGTGGCGTTTCCGCGATGCCGAGCTGTTCCAGAAATTCGGGCAGGCTGGGGTCTATGACACGCCAACAGGGCCGTGGCGGTGAAAGTCGTGTAGACTCAATGTTGGGCTCTACGATCGCATGTATCATGCTGTCAGCGCTACATTGTGGACGGAATCACGATGTAGATGTTCCGTAGACTCAACTCTAGGTACGGCTTGGCGATCCTCTCAATCTCTTCTTGTGCTTACATAACGACGGCCAGTGCGCTATCGTTAGCGTCCCCGCGCGTTCGCTCCTTCGCGTTTACTCATCAACAATCCATTTCAAATCATCCTCCAGCGGACTGGAGCCCGTGATTTGCGGACGAACACGATCGGCTCCCCAGAAACCCCTGGAATAATGGCCTCTTTCTGCTCGAGACTAGGTCAGGTCATGCATCAACACCCTGCCATGCCGCCGTGAAACAGCTCAATCGCCGCATCACTCAACGGCCCGACTCTGAACAGCACAGCAACATGAAAGCACAATTTCCACGTCCATTCTGCGTGCGGTCCGAACGCAACACATATATGACATCCCGGTGATAACGGGCTTGATATGTTTCGAGCGCATCCATGAAGATCCGGAGGGGTGGATTTATATGCTCACTGCAAGGAGGCTGTAGTAACCACAGCAATCAGTCGTTCCTTCGCCCACCCAGCCTACCTTTCGTGCATTTGCGCACGTATCCATTCTTTACCAGAGCATTGCTCGTCCACGTTCATTTTCCATCCATATCTCATCTCGAAGATGAGGCATTTTCACCAGTTGCTCGCCGCTGGAGCGGGCTTTTCTTCAATTGCGCAGGCCGTCAACACTCTCATCGATGTTGGCTACGCGAAGTACCAGGGAGCCGTCGTTGACTCTGAGCTTGGCGTCTCTGCGTGGAAAGGCATCCAGTATGCGGCGCCTCCTACCGGCGAACGACGCTTCGCAGCCCCGCAGGACCCTATCGTCTCCGGACTCATCAACGCGACTAGGCACGGCGCAACATGCCCACCCAACCGTCCGGATGATTGGACCATTTCTGGAGCTACTGATCGCTTCCACGTCGCAGAAGACTGTCTTTACCTGAGCGTCTATGCGCCTTCCGAGGCCAAAGTCGACTCGAAGCTGCCAGTGGTGGTTTTCTTCCAGGGAGGAGGCTTCTCATCGCAGTCCAGCGCGAACTGGGATCCTACGGAGATCGTCTCCGATGGTCAGGTCGTCTTCGTTCAGTTCAGCTACCGCGTGGGTCTCTACGGTTTCCTCAGCAGTGAAGCGGTCAAGGCTGGAGGTGGCGACGTCAATGCTGGACTTCGCGACCAGATCAAGCTCCTTGAGTGGGTCAAGGAACACATTGGACAGTTCGGCGGCGACCCTGACCATGTTGTCCTTGATGGAGTCAGTGCTGGCGGATCTTCTGTTGCACTCATGCTAGCGGCCAACACCGGCAAGGAGCTGTTCGCTGGTGGCATCATGGAGTCGGGCGGGTGGGTCACGATGCGCACCCCAGAACTGGGCGAGGAGCAATATCAGTGTCTGCTCGAAGACAAGGGCTGTGCCAATGCGACAAACGGCCTGTCTTGCCTGCGCGCGTTGAATGAGTCGGCTATCCGAACTTCCAACTGCTGGTTCAACCCCAACATCGACGGTGAGCTCTACACCGACTCACTCGTCAACCTTTTCGAACAGGGCAAGTACGCCAAGGTTCCGACCATTATGGGAACCTGCGCCCAAGAAGGCACCAAATACAACGCACCAGAGGATCTCAACACCACAGCCGATGCCGTCAAATGGGTAGCCAACCAGGACCCAAGTCTCAGCAACTCTTCCATCTCCATCCTTGATGATCTCTACATGAAGCCCAAGAAGCCTACGTTCCCCGGCAAAGGTCTTTACTGGCGCCATGCCGCTGATGCCATCGGCGACATTGGCACCCACTGCCCCACACGCAACATCCAAAACGCAATTGCAGCCGACGACGTACCAACATGGAACTACAAGTACGCCGTACAAGACCCTGCCGACGAGGCCGCTGGCTACGGCGCCTGGCACACCGTCAACGCCTACGCTTTCTGGGGCGTAAAACGCACCGACAACAGCGAGCCAGCCAGCTACTTCACCACCAACGCGCCCATCATCCAACAGGTTCGCAGCTACTGGACGAGCTTCATCCGCAATCTCGACCCCAACACTGATCGTGCCGAACGCGCTGTCGAGTGGAAGCCGTACACTGGTTCCAAGTCGCGTGAGAGGCTGTTCATCCAGACTAACAACACGAAGATGGAGCGTATGAGCCCTGCGCAGGCGCTTAGGTGTGATGTTGTTAGGCCAATGAGCGATAACCTTGGGAAGCCTGTTGCTAAGGGTGTTGTTACGAACTTTGATGCGAAGTTGGCGAAGAAGGTTAAGGGTGCTAGTGAGAGTACTGCGTGGAAGAAGGGTAGGAAGGATGCCAGGGAGTTTGCGCGGGACTACTGAGAAGATTGATGACACATGAATAGACGCTGGTCGAGCAGGTCTGCCTTTATGCGAGGTTTCTGAGCATCTTACTCGTTCTTGTTGTATATATTTTTGAGACTTAAACCTTCTTTCCACCTTCTACAAATAAAGCCTGAACAGGTCTAGAGTCTACATCCTCGTTCGATTACCTGCTTTGCATGTTTTTGTGTTGATCTAGGCCGCGGACCAGGTTTGGTTGTTCCCAGGCTTACATATTCCTCTTTCTGCTGCAGAGACGCCACACCTTTTTTATCTTCGGATCCGCTATACACCATGCTGAGCTTCCTGAATCCATGGCCTGTATGCGTACAAGACTCAGATTTCTACTTATCGTGTTTACAGTGCATTGCATTGCCTATCGTGCGACGGTTGCTAGATACACAGATCACCATCAAGACGCTACGAGATGTTCAGACCAAAGTAAGTCTTTCCATCTTGACTCCTTCGAGGCGCAAGAAAACCGATGGATCGCTTCGCTGCCACTGTCTTGACGTATGCTTGTACCCTGGACCAGTCTGCTTAGTATCGAGCACCTCGTCTACCGGCAGATCTATCTGAGCGTCCCAATATCCAATACGTTTCCATGTACCTTCTTTTTCACCGGGAATCAGCGCTAGGCCTGCTAAAATGCTTGACGGAAAGTAAGGAACCCGCGTCTCAACCAGAAGAGCCAGCAGAACTCTCTCTGGAGGCTGGGTGTGATATTCGATATCATCACACTGTAAGGTAGTCCAGGTGTGTTTTTCACATTCAGGGGGCCTGATGTAGAAAGATGCAAGCTTCTCCTTCAAGCAAAGACACTCAGCGTGCAAAGGATCGTCGCTTACTACTCGGGTTTCCTCGAACGTAGGTAGTTGTAGTGTGATATGCAGTCCAGAGAAGTCGTGATATGCTGTTGGAGGCATCATATTGACAGGCCAGCCCGACCATTGGAAGGAAGAAAGCTGCGCTAAGAATAGTAAGTCACTGGCTTGGAATCCGTCGCCATGACTGTTCGGACTCCAGTAACCGTATCGATCAAAGTACTTGAGCGGGTGATCCACGTAAAGATGGCTCGAGAGCCACGACCAGGACGGTACCTTTTTTGATCCATGCTCACGTATCGATTTAGATATTGGCAATCTCTCCCCGTCTTTATCCCAGTAAGGCTCGGCACTTATATACCACAGTAAACCTTCAGGAAAGGATTCTGCCCAGATACCGGCAAGATACGTAATCTGTGCTTCAGCCTGGAAGGCGCGGGCGACACCAGCAAAGGCGACAGGTCTATCACTGGGTACGGTTAGATCCCTCGCTCTGTATTCCCAAACTAGGTCTTTCCAGTTTCCGAAATACTCCAGGACGTGCTCATAGTCTGCAAACGAGTTTGAAGTATTACGTCTGTGCGCAACATGACTTGCTAGAAGATGCGATTTCTGCGTAATCTTCCGGTTTTTGTAGCCATCACTACGGTTGTAAAGCCGGGTTTCAGTCTTTGGAAGCCATGACCCCGCCAGCTCATCGCAGAACTCCTCCACGCACTCCCACATGAGGGTTTGGTGTCCGTAGAATACTGTGCGTGGGCTTAAAAGATGCTCCTGGAGAGTCCATGCTCGCTGAGACATAGGCCATTCGTGGTAATTGAATCTAGATGTGAATATCTCGCGCTCTCCGGGAGCTGCGGGACCAGACACATACCGGCCCGGAGAAGCGACGATGTAGATCCCTTCGCTGGTCCTAGATGCCTTACGGATGACGCAGGGGCTCATGGTCCTCGGGTCTTCCCGTGTTTTAACGAGACCTCTTCCGGGCGGAAACAAGAAGGCTATGCTGCAGATCGCATTGCTATAAACTGAAGTCATTGAGGCGGATTCGATTTCCCAGTCTGATGGTGAGTCTTGAATAATACACAGTACATCCACCCACAGGTACCGGAAGCCAGTGTGGCGAACGATTCTCAAGGCTTCGACGAATATAGCAGGTAGTTCCGACCATGGTATTGCGACTTGGAATTCGTCAAGCCTTGATAGTGTCAGGCGAAGACGATGGGGCGCATCTCCCCAGACATGGCTGAGTGTAAGGTATTGTAGGTCTGTAATGGTACCGGTATCGCATCGTAATCTCACGCCGTCGGATATGAGTTCCAGTAGTCGGGTCGGCCGCTGGGATGACGCTGACAAGCTCGAGGCGCAGCTAGAACAGCTCCCGTGCGTTCGGATACAAGCATTGAGCCACGTATTGATCTGATCCAAATTGGCAACGGGCTGGCTCGGTACGCTCTGCTTTTGTTCTGGCGCGTCGAACTCATGGTTACTCGATCCTAAATTGTCAAATGGCTTCGCTAAAAGTTTGGAAACACCTGCTTACCATCGAAACATTTCAGGTACATTGACGCCCATCGATACTGAACACATTTGGTACCACCTAGACCCAGGATCAGAGGCAAGTGGCCGGGCGGTTTTCTTGTCCTATCTTTGCATATCATGAATTCTACAGGTCCGTTGTGATCTAATTTATGGTAATCTAGTATAGAGAGCACCATTGCACACAAGTGGCAAGCATCCCTTGACTGCAACAATTGCGCAACGGTGGAAAAGTGGGCCGGATTGGGATATTCATCTCGGACGTCGTGTATGTCGTCGATACCATCCTTGACCCATCTTAAGAAATTCCAGCCATCGACAAAGCTTTTACAGCGATCGCAAAGTTGGTGCAGTATGACCGAATCTTTTGCGTCCGTTTGCGTCCGATCTTCCGCGTAGCCGCCCACGAACTCTGTGTCGTCAATATGGGAATCTGAAATCGTTGACATTGCGCCAGAATGGGTTGTATCAGGCGCGACGAGGGAGGTCGAGGGCTGTTTTGTGGTGTAAAGATGGATCGCGAGGTGGTGCATCGCATCAGGCAACCCCGCGTGAGCACCCATGCAACTGTGCCACATGCACGCATGAGCTCGCTTTTCTTGGCTGTACCCATGACCAAAGACGCACTCTGAGGCTAAAATTGCACTAACTTGTAAGGATACATCCACATGCAACATGATCCATATGTCCAGTGTACGTTTTGGGGTTCCATCGTAGATTTGTACGGCGCAACTCTGAACAAACGAGCTTCCCAACTTTGTAGTTCCTCCGATAACTAGCTATTTGAGTAGATACGTTCCATCTCGCTCACTACCAACACTGCGTCTGTTTAAACCCAGACCGAACTTCGTAGCGGGCTTCACGCATAGACTATAGGAAATCTCGTTTAAAATGTTTATCAGCGCATCACTACCTTGATATCCCCTCACTTGAGACGCATAATGTGAGCGTCATCTAAACCAAAGTAATAGTCTCAATCTTCACTCCTTCGAGACGTAAGAAGATGGACTCCGCTTCCCATGTGTCATCGCCCAGATTAACCCACGCTTTCCAGTAACCGATGCGCCTCCATGTGCCACTTTCAACCCCGGGTGCCAATGCCAGTCCCTGTAAATCGTGACGGTAGTTGAGATCCACCTCTTCGGCAACGAGAGCTATGCGTACGTCTGCCGGGGGTTGATATAATGTTTCGAGATCGTCGCAGTGGTAAGAGGCTGCCAGACGCTTTGTGTCGAGCCCAAGGCATGAAGCTAAGTCCTCCTCGAGACTGTCACAGCTTAGTCTATGACAGTTGTGTTCGCCATATGGCTCCTTGGGAAGGATCGTGGAGGTATGAGTTGCGAGTTCGAGTGTGATCCGTAAGCCGTCAAAGTCGTAGTAGGCTGTTGGAGGAGAGTAGTTGACCGGCTCTTTTGGCCATCTAAAGCACAGGAACTTTGCCTCGTATAGATCAGGGTTCCATCTTTTACTACCTCCTCCAGGAATGACAACATCGCAATGCACATAGATGGGACCGACCAACCATGACCATGTTGGTACGGGTTTTGATGGTGGCTCCCGAATCAAGAAAGGCTCAGCCATCTTCCGCACCTTCGCGGTCTCGATATACCACAATAAAGATCGTGGTAAATGTTCCTTCCACGTTCCCGCGAGATACGTGAATCCGTTTTCGGACTGGAGGGCTCGTGCTATCCCGACGATAGCCATGATTCGATCGTTTGCATGAGAGAGATTTCTTCTTCTGTAGTCTCTTATCAGCCTTGCCCACTGAGGGAAGATTTCAAGTCTCTCCACTTTTCTTTCAAGCCTTGCATCTAGAATTGTCGATGGTGTCGCTGTCTGATTCGGCTGGAAGCGACGCCTATGTATATTGGGTTTGAAAGCCACGAGGCTGCTGTCAGCCTGAGGGCCCGAAAAGGCCAGCTCGTCGTAAAATTTAAGCCCGCATTCCCACATGATGGTACGGTGGCCATATAAAATCGTACGAGGACTCAATAACTGTTCTTGTAGAACCCAAGCCCTCGATGATAAGGGCCAGTTGCTGGATATGAACCTTGATATCTTTTCCTCCTTGGGAACAATGTAGATACCACGCACCCAAGGGGTGCCGCGGACGATACAAGGTGTTAATGCTCGTGGATCGTCTCTGACCTGGCAGAAACCAACATCGGGTGGGAACAAAAACGCGATTGTACAAACAGCGTTATTGTAGACTGCAGACATCATATTCGCTTCATTTGTCCAGTCAATCGTAGAGTCCTGTATGATGCAAAGTGAATCCAACCAGAGGTACGAAAACCCTAGACCACGCGTGATTCGAATGGCCTCGTTGAAAATACTTGACAGCCTGTGCATGGGCACGGCCTCTTGAAACTCCTGCAGTGCTGAAGTCGTCAACAGGAGTCGTGTCGAGTGATCTTCGCCCCACATGTGACTGAGCGCTAAGTATTCGAAATTGTCTATGGTTTGTGGGTCACATCGAAGCCTGGAACCGTTTTCGTTAAGTTCAAGGATCCGTGTGGGTCGGTATCCTTTCGAGTTCAGTCCTGGATACCAGTTGTTGCATATGTCATGCTTTGCACGACAATTGCATAGCCATCTCTGCATTTGGGCTAAGTTGCCGGTCGGTTGACGTGGTGTATGCTTTCTCGCGAATGGAAATTCGAATCTGTACTTGTCGTTTCGATTTATGAATCCTACCATGGGTCACATATGCACTTCGAATAAGTTGTAATCGGGGTGTACTTACCACCGGAACTTTTATGTATTACTACACAATCAGGGCTAAGAACACGACCGTTCAGCAACAAGGACATTCCTAGTGTGGATCTAATGTTATGTGGTTCCCAGAAGGATGGGAGACCGATTTGGCACACCAAAGGCTCCTTCAACGGTATGCTATCATGTTCTTTGATATGCGAGTATAGCATCTCGCACAAATGACAAGCATCTCGAGACTCCATCATTTCCGCCAGGGTGCACAACTCATATCTCTCATACCCACTAGACGGTTCCAGTCCCCTCGTTGCCCCAAACCAAGCGTGCGATCTGTCCCACGTATCGAACATCTGACGGCACCGACCGCAAAGCCGATGAAGGGGTACCGAGCCCTCCGGAGTGGAGTCATCCTGAGATTCCGTCCGCATTGGTGCCTCATCATCGGGAATTTCCGTCATCGTCTGGATCCCGTGGTGTATCCCGTAGTGGTTGGTGTATCGCAAATGACAGGTATTCCGTTGTCGAATGGAGAACAGGATAAAGAGTCAGACTTGGGTAAAAGTGGGAAGAAGAGGAAGAGGAGGGGGAGGAGGAGGAGGAGGAGGAATGGAGATGCTCAGCGCCTGAAGCGGAAGATAACAGACGTCAGCTTTCACAGCCACAGAACAGGCAGGAAGTGACGAGGCTGAGTATGACGACATACTACCTACACATGCTTGGCGACGTTGTACAACACGAGATAGTAAGTAAGCGAGGACAAAACAAGCACGCACTGCCATCTCAAAACACGCGCAAAAGTGCATGACCAGATTCAGCCATGAGCTCGCGATCAAATTTGACAGCACAAGGAGGGAAGTCTGATCGATCACCTTGACAGAACATATCATCACGTGCACAAAAACCAATAAAGTCGTTAAAGAAATACATTCCAACCCCCACCTCACCCCTACCTCTTCACATCCCCAAACCCACGACTAAGAATCCTATTAACATCGCCACCATCCTGCACACCCTCTTGACCCACAACCTCAACCCGATTCCTAATCAAATCCTTAATCTCACCCTCCCTCCTCCGCTCCTCTCTCTCCTTCTCGCTCTCTTCTTGCCCTGCCCCAACAACCCCACTCCCTAGCCCACCACCACCACCACCAACCCCATCACCGACCCCACCCTTCCTATCCCAACCCATCTGCAACTCCCCACTACTAGCCTCCTCAAACCTCCTCTTAACCCCCGGATCCCGCTCCAACGCCTGAAAAACATGCGTATCGCTCGTCCACCACGCAGCCGCCCCGCTCTTCACCGCAAGTTCGAAGACGATAACCGCCAAGAGGATGAGCACGAGACACAGCCACCAACTCCAGGAGGAGCCGAAACCGCGGAGGAAAGTGTCGCGGACGTAGTAGATTTTGTTGCTAGGGTTGTAGACGGAGGAGAGGATGATGTTCCAGAGGAACCAGCCGCCGATGGAGAGGAGGAGGGCGAGGGCGTTGGTTAGGGTTTTGGTGTGTGTTTCTATGAATCTGTGGCGAACGTCAGTGAGCCATTTCTGTTTTTGAGGGGGGAAAGGGCAAAGAAGGGAAGGGAATACATACTGCATCTTCAACGCAATCAACCAAACCGCCGCCGTATACGTAATACTCCCCATAGCAAAGATACTATTATCCTCCGTCCAAAGCGCATCCCCATACAATCCCAACATGCAAAAATACACCAGCATCGCCTCACCACTCGCCATGAACATCCACCACAGATACACCTTAAAGTTGAACCCGCCGTTCACCTGACCAATAGTATAAAGTTCAGGAACAGCAAGCAGCGTACTCGCACTGAGATCCTTCTCAAACACGCCCATGAAGATGACGGGTAAGGAGGTGAACAGCGTGTTGAACATACTCAGACTCCAGCTCTCGTACAGACTCGTCCCTGTATAACCCACGGAACGCTGGAAAAGCGCTTGCGTGAGGTAGAAAAGAAGTTCTTTCCAAAACGTGCCGACGGTGTATTTGCACGTGCGTATGTAATTCCAACGTCCATGCACCAGGAGTAATTTAGTTAGGAACCTGAATTGCGCGATACTGTAATCACTCGTTCTCGCCGCCTGTAATCCTTCTTTTCCGGTAATGCCGATGCCCACGTGGGCTTCTTGGATCATGGCGATGTCGTTTGCGCCGTCGCCGATAGCGAGTGTGATACTCTTCTTCACGCGCTTGCGGATAGATTTTACGAGTTGCGCTTTTTGGCTGGGGGAGGCGCGGCAGCAGATTACGGAGGAAGCGAGGATGGCGAGGGAGTGGAAGAGCGTGTCTAGGGTTGGGGAGGATGTGATGCGGGAGAGTGTCTGGCCGTCTACTACGACGACGGAGTGGGCGACTGTTCCGCTGGTGATGGCCTGGATGGCGGAGGTGATGGTTTGTTCGACGAGGCCGGTTTCGTGGTCGAGGACGGTCACGGTGCTGAACTCTTTGATTAGACGGCACGAGTAACCGATATTGATGGCGGTTTCGCGCTTGTCGCCTGTTAGCATCCACATTTTGATCTGGGCGCGGCGCAGCTTGTCGATGGCTTCTGGGACGCCGGCTTGTAGTTTGTCTTCGATGGCGGTGGCGGCGCAGAGGTCGAGGTCTTGCTCGATCAGATCGCCGGCTTCTTCGATGAGACGGGTGCGGTCGACTAAGCTGGTAGTGGCGGAGAGGTAGGTCGCTTTCCAGGATTGGTATTCAGATTCATGCATGAAGCGGTAGCCGTAGAGGAGGGTTCGGAGGCCTTCGGTGGCGAATTCGTTGATATGTTGGAGACAGCGTTCGATGACTAGGGTGTCGTCGCCAGCTACACCTTCGTCGACCATGGCTTCCATGTCTTCTAGTTGCATTGAGCTTCGGGCTGAGGAAAAGGCCATGCTGAAACGATCGAGACCGGACTGGCGAGGTGTTATCATGGGTGTCTGCATTGGCGAGTCTTCGTCCAGAGACGACATGTCCATGCGGTCGTTCTCGCGCTCGCGAAGCCACTGGTCTACTTCATCTCTTGCTGACATGGAGCCTCGTCCGCCCACACTGTGAGCGAAAGATGGACGACCTAGGTTGAGACTAGCCCTCGTGGCCTGACCGATAGTCATACTTTTCCGGCCGCCGACACTGCTCATACGACCGGCCACACTACTCCGTCGCTCAGCATGTTCGCTCATCCGCGCAATCGCATGTTGAGCCTCCATGCTCTTGCGGATGTTAGCACGACGCTCGATCTCAACCATCTTCTTGTTCGCCAGCGTAGCCAGCTTCAATCGCTGCATGACAATGGAGTCGGCGCCCTTGCAGATGATGCATATCCTGCCATCGGGGAAGCGCAAAATGATGGACATGCGCTTTCGCTTGCTGGAGAACTCGATGACATCCAGAATCTCATAGACCTCTGAGACAGCCTCTCCGTCAGAACCGGATGGCATGATCTTGAGGGTAATGGTGTGAACATCGCGGTTGATCAACAAGAAACCCATGTCTTGCGCTGCCTGGACTAGTGCAAGCTCATCCGGAGAAGAAGCCATAAAGTGTGTCTTGCCGTCTTCTTGAATCTCAGGCAAGCAAGTGTGGCATAGCGCCAACGAGAGAAGGAACATGCGAGCTTTCTTCGAGAACGGGGTGTGAGGTTTCCGCTGGATGTACCGTAGCATGTCCTGTGTACGCAGTTCTCGCGATGTCTTGCCTGGTTTCGCACTTGACTGCCAATTCGACGGTCCCCCTTCCCCAGGGCTCTCCAGCTGCTCAATCGTCTCAATCGCTGGCGTCGTGGGTTCGTCATTCGCTACGTCCTTGGCTGATCTCACACTCTTCCTACTCTTCGCAGGCTGCTTCCCCTTCTTCCTCGTCTTGTGAATCAGCTTCTTCTTCTTGTCTTCCTTCAGATCAGCATCATGCAACCAGCTCACACCCGCTACACTAAGCTTCCGGAACTTCATCGAGTTATCCGTAAGCGTACCCGTCTTATCCGAG